AAAGACACACCTTAAAGGAATAAAAGTAATTTTAAGTGAATCTTGAAAATATCATCAGTGATTATTTATTGACAAGCACAATGTATAGCCACAAATTTCATTAGTATATTGATGTTTCAGCTGTGAATTAGTTAAGTGAAGAATCATAAAATTCCAAGGAATATATATTAAACTACCTGTCTTTTATTTAACCAAGGGTACTGAGGTTGTAACTATTCTTTCTTTCCTTTCCCTTTCTCTCCTTTTTTTTCTTTTCTTCTTTCCTTCTCTCTCTCTCTCTCTCTCTCTCTCTCTCATTAGGGGTTAAAACAAAACACCCAAACAATATAATTATGCATTCTGTTTACATATATTTTATATCCATGGGAGCTCATTTACCTCAGAATACCACGAACATAAGTAAAATATATTGTAATCTTTCTTCCCTACAATACCATCAGATGTGATCTCAACGTGCTGGGTAAAACGTAGGAGACTAGAAGTAACTTGTCAATTTTTAATAAAGTCTTCCTTCCTCGCAGAGCTAAATGCACCATTCTCCCTGCAAACTCTGGCGATGATGACATCTTCCCAGTTGGTCTCCATAGCATCCATTTCTGTAGATCCCCAGAATAGTCCTTGTTTAGGGAGATCCGCCCAGCTCCCCTAGAAAGTTGGCAATCTGGTCAGCCAAAAGAAGCTGCCCCTTTTCCTGAAACTTACTCTGTCCGTGGTGCTGAACCCTCCTGCCGAGACGCTCCCACAAGGGCGCTGTCAGCCGTGCTGAAAAAATTCTTCCCTGACGCTGCCCAAACCAGGACTGTGTATCTGTTATTTACTCACGTCCTCAAAGAGCAGCAAGCTTTCTCCATCTTAATTCGACTCTACCGCAGAGCAGAGTTGCGCCGGCGTGATGGGAGGAGATCACAGACAAGGAGAAAAACTAATAGCAGCATCGCTCACCTGAGACCCAGGATGCTCCCATGAGTTTGAGAAGTGCTCTCTGCTCTTTACAGCAAATACAACATTTTTAAAAAGTGCTATTCTGACTTTGTCCTTACACAAGGGTTCTGTGATATTTCCACCCTTCCATTTAAAAGCCACAAGATTTTATAGCAATGAGGCGTTCAACACCGGGAATTTAAATCGTTTTTCAGTGGACTGACTTCCAGGACAAGGACTCATCGGCACCCGCCCAAATACCATGGCACTGCGTGCGCCCTTTGCTACCGGATCCTCCCCTTCCAATGAGACTTTCTGATTGTGTCTACCAACTCTCCTATTAGGAAACCCGTGGGTTGCATGCAGCTATTCTGTTGTATTTTCGTTCTCACTCTCCCTCCCCTCTCTCACTAGCACTCTTGCTGGAGGCACACCAATACCTTTCTGCTGAGGAGAAAAAGCCCACAACTACCTTAAAGGGTTAAGACAATATGCGCAACTCTCACCTTTTATAGCGATCACTATTTAAATTTGGCAAGAGCTGACACCAGTCTTTGCAGGAATGGAGTCTGTAAAACAAAGGATTTTGACCCCAGGAAAAGAGGGGCTAAAGAATTTTGCCGGAAAATCCCTCGGCCAGATCTACAGGTAAGAGAGAGCAAACCCATATTTGCCTGGGGCTCAGCATGAAAAAATCTGCAAAGGCTATTTCCGTAAAACCTGGTTGCTTAGAGAGATTGTAATATGATCGGAAAGTCTTTTTTTGTTGCTCATTGCAGGAGCGGAGCTGCTCTGGAAACTTGCTTATTTATTCAGGAATGTTGTACTAAATGAACCTGTCTGCTTTGTGTATGTGTGTATGCGATTTTTGTTTCGGTACCTGCAGATTCTCATTATTTCTTATCCAGGATTTATCCTCTTTACAATTGAAAAATGACCAGCAACTATTCAAAGAACCTTTCTTTTAGTGCTTATAGTGACATCAAATTAAATTCCTTTGATGCAGACAAATTAATAAAAAAAAAAATACAATCCTTTAAAAAAATTAACCAAGAAATTCCAAAGAGTAATTGCAAAAAGAAATTTAGATCTTAGCTTCAAAATCACTTGAGTAGTGAATCTCCGGTAGAATCATCCTTCTGTACAGAAGGAAGAAGAATCAAAATATATCAATAATTGATAGCTGAAGCAGTTCTTCTCTCTGAACTTGAAACAATGTACAATGTATTTTTTATTATTTGACTTCTCATAGAAGTCTGTTTCTTGCATGGGAAATGGCACAGTACTTTAAAAAAAGACATAATAATAACCAGCAAAATGACTTTGAAAGAACTAGAAATTATTTAAATTTTTTTATCTTCCCTGTAGCCATTGTACTAATTATGAGGTAAACTTCTCAACATTAAATCACTTCAAGAACATTACAGGAATACACTTTTTCTTAATCAGAGCAAAGTCAAGAAGAGAAGGCAGAAGCAAAAAGAAACGATTCCAAGAGAACACTCATTTTCATAGCTGGGAAACTTAAGACTTTGGAAATGTATAGGAAATGTAAAGAAAATGACCAGTGTGCCTCCCAAATTGCAAAATCTCTTCCGTTTTTGGGGGCTTTGTGCGGGCTCAGTCATGCTATGCGGCAGTAGGTACCGCAAGGGCCTGCAGTCCCTTGGCTGCCCTGGAAAGAGCTGTTGTTCCTCAGCTCAAGTGCCATCAGGTGGGGAGTTCAGGTGCAGAATTCAACTTTGCATATATGAGCATATGAAGCCAATGTAAGAAAATAATAAAATTTCGTTAGCTGAGTTTTTCCATCCCAGAATAAATTGCCCTGTGCTCTACAATTGGGATTGGACTTTAGAAATAAGCATTAACATAGCCACGACTACCTTTCTGACCCATTCCCAGGCGATAATTTTGCAGAATTTGGAAGTCTGACTTTTTTTTCCCCCCCTAGTAATCTCAAATCTCAAGCTGTGCATTCTTGGAATTGATCTGAAATTTTCATTTGCTTTGCCCGTGTGCATGAAAACAATTGTGTGTGGCTACATCATTTAAAAGAGCACACATAAAAATCAATTATATGGGGGACTGCAAATTGTAAACGGAGAGATTCCTTGTTTAAATATTGAAAGTGTCCATCTCAAGGGTCCATCGGTGATGTTACCGTTCACATTCACCTTTTTAAAATAGTAGTTTCACGGATACACCGTGGACTAGAACAATACTATCAACTTTTAGTAACATGGTTCCATCACTCCGTTCTCCCCTTCTCCCTGCCCCCAAGGAGGAAAGCCTAAAAGTAACTGAATCAGGCAGGTGAAATCTTGTGAAATACTATGCATATTTAAAAACAAAACAAAAACTAAATATGAGACCTTTCACCTTGGCTGGAACATCTTAGCAGAGTTAATTTGGGGCGCGTTTGTATATCTGGGACTCACATTTTAAGTCTTTGGAAATGGGCCCGTGACATTTTTCAGTGTTTGTAGCCGAGATAGTAATGACGCAAGATTGTGAATAATTAATTATTCATGTTCTGGCAGTAGGAAGCTTAGGTGTCGGCGGCCATATGTTGCGGAGGTCTTTGTTTCAAACTCGAGTAAAAGGCGGGGAGACAGTGAAATGTGTAACCGGAAAGTAAACGCTGATCTGGCACCCTGGGGCTGGAGGACGGGGCAGTAGAGTGCGTGACACTCCCAGAGAACGTTCGCAGACCTTCTCCGCATCGGCACTGGACTGGGGAGGCCTTAGGCCCCGTGGGCGCCGGGCTCGGCTTGGGGGCGGGATTGCGGTGTTCTCACCCCGGAAAGCTTCAATTTGACGGGGAAGGAAGGGGTAGGTCGGGTGCAGGCCAGGGGCTGCGCCGGCCCGCAGCCTAGCGGCTTGCGGGAGACTGGATGGCTGAATAAATTTTCTATCGCAAGAGTAAACCGCTGTGGTGGGAGGCGCCTACACAGGTGCTGAGAAGAAGCCTTTGGGGTAACCTTCATAAACTGCAGAGCCCACAAGAAAGTTAGGCCCAAGCCTTCTGTGTATGTGAAGCAAGGCGCTGAGGGTTATATCCGGAGGGAATGGGGACTGGGTACCAGAGGCCAGAAGGCATTAAAGTTGAAGAGATGCTGCGGAAGGGAGGAGGACTGCCAGAGGCTGAAGAACCCATGAGGTCCTGAAGCCTGGTGTCTTTCTAACTCCTCCATCCCAGAGGAAGGGGAACGGGTCAGAGCTCCTTCCCTCAGCCCTGACTGGCCCAGAGGATTGGGAACGGGCCATCGTCGAGAGTGCCTAACCCGACGCGTCCTTGCCTCTCCCCGCTCTGCCGCACAGGGTGCTGGAGAAGAAGCAAGAGGCCGGGGAGACCATCGAGCTGACGGAAGATGGGAAGCCTCTGGAGGTGCCTGAGAAAAAGGCGCCTCTGTGCGACTGCACGTGCTTTGGCCTGCCGCGTCGCTACATCATTGCTATCATGAGCGGCCTCGGCTTCTGCATCTCGTTCGGGATCCGCTGCAACCTGGGCGTGGCCATCGTGGACATGGTCAACAACAGCACCATCCACCGCGGGGGCAAAGTCATAAAGGAGGTGGGCAACAGCTGGCAGAGTGGTTGTGCAAAGCCACATGGCCCGTTTGAGCCCCGTTTCCCCCTTCCCCCCTCCCCCAACATGAAGAAGGCCTGGATGCTTACTCAGTCCCCTTCTAGCAAAGCTCTTATAAAACCCTTCTAGTATTATCCTCTCCCTTTTTGTACCCGAGGCAAGTCGCTTCTGCCGGTTGGGCCTTCCTTTTCTTACCCGCAAAGTGGAAAATAGTATCTAGCTCACTAGGTTTTTGAGAAGAGCGACTTCATACAAGAAGTTGCTGCTTAGTAATGTCCTCTAAATCTAAATTGAAATATTTTTCATTTATTCAGAGTAATAGAGCAGCGTGTTATAATTTCCCCCGACTTCTTCCAATTCCCGCCAAACATTCTTAATCAAAATGAAACAAAAACAACAACAACAAAAAAACAAATCAAATCCACAATGCGCACATGGACAGTTTTCCCCGAGGGGGTCTCCAGGAGCCTTCCACCTGGCTGGGAGGTCAGAGATGGTGCTGCAGCGCAGGCGCGTCTCGGGGTCTCGGGAATCCAGTACCCTAGTCCTACATTTGTGTGTGTTGGGTGATTCCTAGGGAGAAGAGAGTCAACGTCAAGTTCACAGAAACCCGTGGGTCCGTGCTTTCCGTTTAGGGATCTGAGCGATCATAAGCCAAGAAGAGCAAGGGTTGTTGGGAGGAGTAATTTGGGACGGGCTCTGCACACGTAGGCGGTGAGCGCTGACTCCCCAGAGGGATTCCGGGAGACCCTGCAAAATGTGTTTGGTTTCAAATTTTCATTCAAAGGGGAAAAAAAAGCAGCCCCATTTTCCCAGGCGGAATAAGCACTCTTTTCCCTTTCTGATGCAGATATTTCACCCGAGTTTACTTTAAGGTTCGCCAAGTACAGCCCCTCACGCTGGTGAGGGAAGAGTTAGGCCCCGACCTTCAGACACACCACTCCCGCTTTCTTGACCTCCCCAAAGCACGCTTCTCTCTCCACTGACTCTGCAAAGAATGACTTACTCCAAGTCATTCTGGTCCACACCGACCCCCATTTTGCTGGGACCATCCTTCCCCTCCGCACCTTCTGTTCCAAGGTCCCTGCCTTCTCTCCTCGGAATTTCCTGGGTTGGGTTCCTTTCTCCAAGCGATGACACCACTGTCCTCACTGACGGGCGTTGGCTAAATGCACCCTGCCAGGTGTCTCTATCTCCAGCCAGCTAAAGGAATCTCTTCCTGGAGAGTCCAAATTTCCCAAACTGGAGTCCTGAGGATTCCTCATTCATTGAGGTGAGGTGATCCGACCGGCCCAACAGTTTTCTGAGAGCAAAGCCAGGGGGCCCAGCTTTGCTACTAGTCACAGTAGATTTTAAACGAGCACTGTTTTTCAGTTAAAAGAGATGTTTTTTCCCTACGAGAAGGTGTAGATTCAACTTTATTAGGAAACGAAAATTGAGCAACATCCATGTC